TTTTTTTTTTTGAGACAGGATCTCCCTGTAGCCCCAGCTGTCCTGGAACTTTCTATATAGACCAGGCTGGCCTCGAACTCATGGAGATCCGCCTGCCTCTGCCTCCCAAGTGCTGGGATTAAAGGCCTGTGCCACCACGCCCAGCTCCCCCAAAGGGTTTTATACTGCTTAGTTCTTCACTGTATCTCCAGAGACTGAATCGGAGTCAGGCATCCAGCATGGGATGCTGTGGGATGAAGAGTGGGTCGAAAGAGGTAATTCGTAGCTAGGAGGTACCATACAAGTCAATGGAGAATCCCTTCGTTTTCAGTATATTTCTTGTAGTTTAGACTGGTTTTGTTTTCCTTTCCTAAATCATGCGGGTAGCTTAGGGGTTGGCGTCTAGTTATAAATTACAGTTTCAGTTTCGACACTTTAAAAAAACTTTAGCTGCAAGGTGTGAATGCAGGTGTTCCCTTTTTGCTGACAGCAAGGAGGTTTATGATTTCTGAACTCCATGACACAAACAGATGCTCCTTGGCACCCCCTCCCTCCACTGCTGCATGTTAATGAGCCTACATATAACAACTTGTTAAATGGCTGCTATGGCAGCCACAAAAGGGCTCCCTGAGCCCTGTGCTGCCACAACCCTGGTGTTGAGGTGTCCCCTCAGGCACTCATAGGGCTCCGTGTTTAGAAAGCAGTAGTTGTCAGACCTGGGGAGCTCAGGCTACATATCCCACCCCACCAGGAGAAGCAAAGGAGACCTGCAAACTCTTCAACCTGGTACCAATTACCCCGTGCTGTCTTTTTTCTCTTCTGAATACTGCACTTTGGTCTGGAGCAGATGGCATGAAGCCAGAGAGACATGCTAATAGCTCTCTCCAGAAAAGTATGCACAGCCCATCTGTTAGCTCCCTGTGGAAAAAAAAGAAAGGAAAGATGGTTGGGGGGACCTGCCACCAACAGTAGAATCATCAGACATCATAGCACTTGTGACTTGTGGATTTTAGAGCTCCACTGAACTCAGGATAATGCAATGAAGGCGTCAGTTCCTCTAGATCCATACACCAGCCTGTACTCATGAGCTGAGCTACATGTATTATGCTCAAGACAATGAAACACTGCACAGAAGGCCCCTGGCAAATAAATGACTTTCAATCTTCAATTTAAGGGTTTTTTCTTCTTTATGATGGTATGAAGGTACTACACATTCAATAGAGTCCACACTTTGAATTTTGGTCTTTTCTCAGGGCAACAATATATGGTTCAGTGCTCTCTTCGGATGCTGGGCAGCCATGGGGAGCCATGGCTCCCAGTCAGCCGTGCAATCCCAAGGGAAGGTGGACAGGTCATAATATGCCGTGCCACTAAGGTTGGATGTTCAGTAGGTTAGACTAAATGCGTTTTCACCCTAGAATATTTTTAGCTTACAGTGGATCTTTTAGGTCATAACTGTAGCATCAAGAGCAAATACATGTTTCCATTTTAGAAGAGCAGTGGGAGGAGGATGGCACAGCGCAGTAGAAACTGGTTTTCTACCCATTCACGAAAGTAGGCACCCAGGTCTGTGTTGTTGAAAGGATGATAGGTAAGTGTCCACTAGTGAGACCTAGTGCCTCCTTTTTAATAACACATATTTGCAGCATCTCCCTTAATAGCTGAAGATGAAAGTCATAGACAGTAGCATAACTTTTCTACACTGTTTTTCAATCAGTATAATGCCCTACTGTGGAACTGAAGTAAAAGAAATGATTTATAATAAAAGCATCTATTTCAGTAAGGAAATAGTGAGGTGTGACCATGTAAAACACAGCAAGTAATCAGATGATTTTTACCTGAAAATAATCACCCTGGCTGAAACAGCAGTATTGTGAAAGATCATCCACTATGAGAACTCCTTCTCTCCAATACCACCATTTTCCAAACAACTCTTGAATGTTTCAAATGAAACAAATTCCTCTTTCAGTGGAATTGTTACATTCCTGGAAAAATCACAGGTGTGAAAACTGTGTAAAGAAACTAAATTTCCAAGTAATTTAGTCCATCTGGGCTTAAAGGATCATAAACAGAATATAGGGTCATTCACTGTTGTGTGGTTGGTGTCACACATTGTAAGATGTCTACTGTCAATGCTGAGGGCCCCTTCTATGCCAATACTGATCATCCACTTCCTGCAGTTACTGTGACTAACAAAACATATCCTGCAAATTTCCTCTTCGCCCATAGGGGGCAGTAACACTCCCTCTGAGAATAATTGAGCCCTGTCAAAGCAAACCAGAGGTAAAAGAAACAAGTGACAGAGTTCTTACTTTGTGTATCGGTAGGTCAAGTCATTCCATTAGTAGTTAACAGATGAAGCAGTCTGAACAAATCTGAAGTCTGAAATGGTGCGCCCCTGTGCCCCAGTACTATTGGACTTAGAGTTTGACAAGTATATTAACGTTGACTTGACTGGACAACAAAAAACCTTTATGCCCCATCTGGAACTTTGTCCCAGGGGCTGTGTGGCAAGGGGTACAGAGTACACACCTGGCCAGAAAGTAGCTAGGTTTTGAATATTGACTTGATCCTGTATCAGTTGAATTTGAGACTGGAGCATGGAGAGAGGCATCCTGGGTCATGGCTCACCAGAGTCCCTGGCATGACCTATGATGTGAGCCTTGCCCCAGCACCCATCCATTATCCTTTTAGAAGCTGCCAGGATACCTTAAATCCATTCCTCCTTTTGTCTTGATCTCATTATACCACACCTGCAGATTCCTTCAGGTAACCATGGAAATGCTTCTTTTGGCAAAGCTAGCTTCTCTGTCCTCTCCTGTGCCTGGCTAATCACTTGTCTCTCAGGCTTAGATGTCCATGCAGGCCATTGCTGTGCCCCCTGAGAAGCATGAAGACACTGACAGCATGTGAGAATTTCCAGTGGACCCACAGGGTGCTAAAGCATTCTTGGTATGGGGCTGGAGAGATGCTCAGCAGTTAAGAGCACTGGCTGCTCTTGTAGAAGACCAGGGTTCAAATCCCAGCACCCACATGACTGCTAACAACCATCTATAACTCCAGCTCCAAGGGATCCAACGCCCTCTTCCGACCTCCATGGATACTGCATGACACGGATGCACTTACCTACATGCAGGCAACACACTCATACACATAAAATAAAAATAAAATTAAAAAAAGAAAACATTCTTGGCAGGTCAGGCCCAGTGACTGAAAAATCAGAAATTGGTCTTGATCATCTGGATTAGACAATATAATGCTAAGAAACGAATACTGACTTCAGAATCTCATACCACCCCAGTTTAGATCCTGATCCTACCTTGTACAAGCTGTATGACCCTAAGCAAATTGCTTTTCTTCACTGAGCATCAGTTTTTCTCATTCCTAAAACGGCAGTAACAGTACCTAACATGCAGTGATTTTGTAAAGATGTGAAATGTAGACCAGGCACACTATAGGCATTTAATAAGTGGAAATCACTGCTGTTGATATTGTTATAACATTTTTTTATGTGCCTGCTAAGATGTACACATCTTACCTGAAAAGAATAATTGGGCGAATAGTTACGGCTGTGATATATGTGAGTATCTGCCTTGGTGTTTTGCAACATCAAGCTGTACCACTGTATGAGATGCTCTCACTGGATAACAGCCTTCAAGGTTTACTTTCTAAACTTGTAATAATAATATAGAAATAATGTGTCATGATTTTCATAGCTATAGTTTAGTGTTGTCTGCGGTATGTTAAGCAAAGTCCTTTCTGGGCTTTATCTGAGTCACATCACAGAAGTAGCTGACATTTACTGATTGCTCACTCTGTCAGATGTGATCATCTGCACCTTGAATATTGAATCTCAGTTGGCCTTCAAATCATTCCAGTGAAACAGAAGACAGTGTATACCCACACTATAGATAAAAGACATGGAGGGCTGCAGACATTAGGCAGTGCTGTCCGAGTATCATAGCTAGGACGTGACGGTCTGCCTTTCCACCCAAGCCTCTCAAGTTTGCCACTTAGAGTTCTTTAGCACTGCGTCCTACCGGGAAGGCAGGTGTCCTCGCCTTTCTGTACAGCAGAGAAGGACTCTCAGATAGCTTCAGCAATCGAAAGTGTCCTCAGTTGACCACGGAGAGACAGGATAAAAACCTAGGCAGGCCTGCTTCCAGGCCTCTGCCCCATCTCCTGAGACACCCTGGCTCCTGAGACTTTGAGATTCTGAAAACTTAAACCCAACTGTGGAAAATGTTCTAACCCCCAGCCATTGCACGGTTTGCCCCTCACTGCATTCTGCTCTCTGATTGTGACCTTTCCCATGAGAAGCTCGCTGGGCCACTTCTCCAGAAGGTAGACTCCCCAAGGTCAGGGAACTTTTGTCTCCCTTATCTGGTTGTTCCGAGTCCTGGCACCCCCTGGCATTCTGTAGGTGAGCAGTACCTTTCTGTCAGCCACTGAAATCCTTAGATGTTCCTTCTCCAGAATGCCTGACTCTTCTTTCTACCCTTCCAGGTTATGTCGCTATGGGCGCCGTCCTCCCATCCTTCTGGGGCCAGCAGCCCCTCGTCCAACAGCAGATCGCCATGGGTGCTCAGCCGCCCGTTGCTCAGGTGATGCCGGGGGCTCAGCCCATTGCATGGGGCCAGCCAGGTCTCTTTCCTGCCGCTCAGCAACCCTGGCCAACTGTGGCCGGGCAGTTTCCGCCAGCCGCCTTCATGCCCACACAAACTGTTATGCCTTTGCCTGCTGCCATGTTCCAAGGTCCCCTCACGCCCCTTGCAACCGTCCCAGGCACGAATGACTCTGCCAGGTCAAGTCCACAGAGTGACAAACCCAGGCAGAAAATGGGAAAGGAAATGTTTAAGGATTTCCAGATGGCCCAGCCTCCACCCGTGCCGTCACGCAAACCCGACCAGCCCTCCCTCACCTGTACCTCAGAGGCCTTCTCAAGTTACTTCAACAAAGTCGGGGTGGCACAGGATACGGATGACTGTGATGACTTTGACATCTCCCAGCTGAATTTGACCCCTGTGACTTCTACCACGCCGTCCACCAACTCACGTGAGTGCCTTTCCTTTAAGACCTAAAACTTGATGAGACCAGGGCCTTTTTTCTCATAACTACATTTCTGGAGTCAAAATGCATCTCACTTGCAGCTCAAGCTTGTTGACACTACTACTAACATTCCTAAACACCTACCAATTCAGCTCAGCTCCCAATTATAACATACACAATGTCTTCACATCCTCTAGGTCTATTTATTTTTAAAAGGTTTACTTTTTATTTTATGTGTATGAGTATTTGCCTGCATGTATGTACACCATGACTGGTTGCCTGTGAAGGGCCATTAAGACTGTTTCAGATGCCCTGGAGTTGGAGTTATAGGCGATTGTGAACCACCATGTGGGTACTAGGCAGAAACCAGGTTCTCTGCAAGAACCGAACTCCTTCCTGAAATTTAATTGTTCTCTACAAGCCTTTAACTGCTGACCCATCTCTCCAGCTCCAACAAGATCTATTTTTATATAACATTGATGACCACGAGTTTTGCAACATCTGTTGAATAGATAAAGATGGTGAGGGTCAAAGCCAGTGACCATCCAGAAAGTGACACAATTGAATGCAGGCCTGGTATTTGTCTACAGTGTTACTATGCCTCTTATGACCTTGTTAATTTGCTCATTTGTTCATTATTTATTCACTCATCCAGCCATTTGTTCATATATGTGTTGGCTTATGACACACAAATTTGGACATAAGTAATTGAAATGAAAACATATATAAAATTTTAAAGTAGAAAGAAGGGGCTGGCAAGATGGTTCAGCAGGCTGCTACCCAGCCTGACCACCTGAGTTCAATCCCCAGGACCTACGCGGTACAACTTCCAGAAATTACTCTCTGACCTTCACATGTTTTGCTATGGCACCCACATGCACACACTAAATAAATACATACAAAAATAAGTAAATAGATAAATGTAAGAAAGTTTTTAAAGTTTAGAAATAAGACTTTACAAGTAGAATATTAGTTAAGATCAGGAGAAAATTTATAGCAAAGTTAGCAACCATAAGGTCCCCCTACATGATCCTGAGATTGAAACTAAGTAAGCAGAGGGATAGTTCAGCGGAAAGCTCTGACTGGGAACGTGGAGGTCGTCTTTGTTCCTTGTTGGTTGTATCCTTTGGAACGCCTCATCGTTCTTAACTGTCGAAAGCCAGTTACTTAGAATGTGAAAGTATTGTCATCAGGATTTTCTTGCTCAGTAGTTTCGGTTGTTAGCCTGAGCCCTTAACGGCCGAGCTATCCCTCCAGTCCTTTGCGCAGTCATTTTATGTACACTCCTGGACTGGCCAGATTTCTAGGGCTGACTTCCCACCACAAGCATGTCACTTCTCTGAGACTCTGCACCAGCTGGAGGAACGACAGCTCCCTTCTTGTCCCAGCGTTCAGGGATTCTGCTTAGTTCACTTTCCCACTGCAGACATCAAAAATAGAATCCATACGGCCAAGTCAGAATCCAGACACACTTGAGCACTCGTGTGCTTGTCTGACACAATGGGAAAAAGTGCTCCAGTGACTCAGCCTGTGCCTTGACAATTGATAAGGGAAAAGAAAGGGCTCATGGTACAATGACTTTGGCATTTTCATTACTGTCACCAGTGATACGGATCACTGCGTAGCCAATACCATGAATTGTCAAAAAAAAAATCTAATGTGAATACAATTAGATTGTGTTATTCAGCCAGGTTTGGAACCCTGTTCTGAAAATGAAGGCCTCACACTCGGGCCATGGGAACTACATAGTGGGGGCATTTCTATTAATTCTAACTCGTGGAGTGTCATTGAAGAGTAATGAATAAAGAATGAAATGCTAAAGAAATACCAGTCAGGCATAAATGAGCAAGAGTCTTTAAAGCACAAATCTCTTTCTCAGTGAACCACTGGTCATCAATAAGAGTGGAAGTTCAAGTGCTTTGAGGACAGGGACTATGTCATCATCATCCTCAGAGTTCTCAGAATGCTTGTGCAATACCTAACACACAGAGACATTTGGGAAAAATTGTAGAGAATGAAATGAAGCCCCCAGAAAGACCACTTAGCCACAGCTATGGTTTTGCCAGTTTGCCACTGTTGACATTTGAGTGCCAGTGACTTTTTATTGCAGGAGGGCGTCACATGCACTGTAAGTAATTTAGCAACATTCTGGGTTCTACCCAACAAATGCTAATAACATTCAACCTTTTCCTTTACTCATAACAGTCATAACTCTGGACATTGCCAAATGTTCCCTAGGAGTGAAATGAGCCCACATTAAGAAACCACTGTTTTGGAATGCAAAAGTTCTCTACAAAACCTTCTGGAGATGAAGACCTTGGCATAAGCAAACTCCCCGTTAAATTCCCATTCACTTTCTTAAGTAAGAATGAGCAATATACCTGTCAGAATTGGCAGCTCAGTCTGGGTTCTCAGCCTTTTATAAACAATAAACCACTTCAAACACAACTCAGAACCCAATTAAGCTAATATTTATTAAGCACCCATCCTTCAGTTTTACATAGAACTAAACCCACTATAGCTGGTGTGCTCTGAAAACATCTCAGGAAACGTAACAGACTTCCTTTCAAATACAAGAGATAGGTAATGTAACTATCCTCTCCTCTGTCAGTATCCCTTTAAGAATGTTTTCAGTAAAGGATTAATTGTACCAGAATCGAACCTCAAATCTAACAGACAGAATCGTGTTTGATAAATCTGTACTATGTTCCAAGCTCATAGCTCATAACCCTATAGCTATGTTAACCTGAGCAGCTCACCAAAATCTGAGCTCTGGCTCCTATCACCTGCGGGAAAATGCACAATGATAGCATGTGGCTGCTTGGACTAGGAGCAGAATGAACAGTGTTCACCTTACTGGAATATTATAATGACAAAAGACAAAAGAGCTGGAAATAGCATGGGTATTCTAAATATAGGTCCATGGGGAAAAGATGAACACTAACTTTTGCAATCATTCACTGTCTGATGAACTGACAGATCGTATAAATTCTTGAACATTGTAATAGAAGTCTTATCAACGGCATTGCTATTCACCTACGTAATCAAGCCATATCTTGGCACGCTGAGCCAGTGACCTGACCAGAATTTTCTATGCTGAAAGAAGCATTATTAAAAGAAGAACTTCCAGCCTGGCATGGTGGTGCATGCCTTTAATCCCAGCAGTCGGGAGGCAGAGGCAGGCAGATCTCTGTGAGTTGGAGGCCAGCCTGGTCTACAGAGTGAGTTCCAGGCAGCTGGAGCTACAGGGAGACCCTGTCTCAAAAAGACCAAAAAAAAAAGAACTTCCAATGTCATATTTGTTATAAACCTCCAGAACAAATTAGAGGAGCGAAATCTAGGACGGTTGGGGCATCGAAAGCACATCACCCACATGCATTAACCCAGACATGTATTCGTTGAATAATTATTGTGTACAAGAATCCAAAACCTGGTTTACCAGTTGGCATGAAGGAATTAGCAGTCTCCATTTTTCTTTTCTGTAAAACATTTTAACTTCTACTTCAAAGGAACCTTATGAGTATTAGGGATAAATTACTAACAGTATCTGACCCACAAAGGGCATTCAGTAAATGTGTCTCAGAGAAGAAAATCAGCCACACCTAGCAGCTCTCAGCTTTGCACAAACTAGAATGCCCTGGAGGGGTTGTTCAAACAGTGGATCCCCTGCAGGAACCAAGGATTAACATTCCTGAATAAACACTGCGGAGGAATTCAAACCTTTAACCTTGACTTGAGATAGGGGAGAGGTCCTGTGGTTTGACTCCAGTATAAAAAGATCCCAACGATTTCTGTGCCATGTAACTGATTACAGCCATATGCTTACCACATTCTTTTTGCATGTTCTCTGTGTAGCTCCAACTCCAGCCCCTAGGCAGAGCTCTCCATCCAAATCATCAGCATCCCACACCAGTGATCCTACCGCAGATGACATCTTCGAAGAGGGCTTTGAAAGTCCCAGTAAAAGTGAAGACCAAGAGGCTGTAAGTGACCTGGTTGGTAGTTCTGTTATGTTTTTCCTTAAAACTAAAATGTTCATATCTGAAAGGGGCCATGTAAGAGGAAGCTGGCACAGAAGAGAATGCTGGCTCCAAGCTGAGGTTCAAAAGGGTTGCTGAAGGGGCTTTCTTTTACGCTCAGATGTATCAGCCAGAAAACACTGTCCTTTTGTTAAGTTGTTTCAAGCTCCTGCATTTGGGTGGTGGCATCCTGGGATGGAAGTCTCCCCCTCCTCTAAAATAACTGACTGTATATGTCATATGAATATAATCTTAGTTGCCTTACATTTTCAGTTGTTGAAAAGAGAAAAAAAAAGTATTATCTTCTTGTGTTCTAGCCTGATGGATCACAGGCCTCCTCCACCAGTGATCCATTTGGGGAGCCCAGTGGTGAGCCCAGTGGCGATAATATAAGTCCACAGGACGGTAGCTAGATAGCGCAGGCCTGGGTAGGTATCTGTCCTTTTTAATCTCCTTCACCCATAAGATTTTCCCTTTGCTTGTTCTTCATTTCCGAGTCATCGCCCCAGTGTTTGTGCTGTGTCTCCTTGCCTGTGCTGTTTGGAGGTCTCTGTGCCAACCATCTCCCCTTGCCTGCACTGTGTTATAGTGTTCACACCATCTCCTTGCCTGAGCTGTGTCACCAGTTACCACTGTTGATACGATCCCCCCTTGCCTCACTTCTACTGTGCACTGTGCTTTTTCTTGTGGATGAATGACCTTTGATATACACTAAAAGGTAGGCTTGGAGGGAACAGGGAATAGTTCCACTGCTTAATTAATGTTATACCTTCTGAGTGGGTAATGGCAACGAGCTCTCATCAACACTGCTTAGTGTGGACTGAGTTTCTAAAAACGGCAGCACTCTGGGATGGGCATTCCATCCTCCCTGGTAATTTCCTAGTAAGATGTAGTCTTTTAAACAAAATGTCACTGCGTGTGCGTGCATGCCACAGATCTGAAGAGGTCACCAATCAAACACAGTAAGAAGTCAGACTATGAAACAAAAACAAGCGATGCTTGAAATAAGATTGATCAAGATATAAGATCATAGTAATCCTTTCCATCTGGCAGAAAGGGCCGTATACCCACTTCCAGTCCGACAGAAAAATCCAAGGCCCAAAGACATGTGGTGCCACTCGAGGCTCTGCTTTTTGCACCTGTGTTGCATTCTGTGGTTTGCCACCAAATCACTTCAGATTCCATCAGCATCTACTTAGAGAGAGGTGTACTTACATTTACTAGAAGTGACTTTTGGCACTTGAATTTCAATACATCTGATTTGATCGAAAGAAAGGCTGATGAAGCGAACCTTCTCAGGAGATAGAAGTATATGCCTTGTTACCCAGATGTGATTTCTAAGGTCAGCCCTTGACAAAGGTATTCAATTTCCAGATCTTGTCCCAGTTTTCCATAAAGCCAAATCCAAAAAGCTTCTTTTAGTCCAGAACAGCGTGATCAGAGCCATTACTAGGGTAAACTGCTTTCACTGCTCATAAATGGATTGTGTGGCAACCTCAGAATCATTCTTGGTCCGCCCATAAGTTATTTTGACAGTTATTGAAAGCTAATTCAATGTTTTGAAAGTGCATTTTGCTAATAGATTTTATGATTAAAGAACTTAACATGCTATATTTTTTCATAGTTTATATTAGTACAACATCATGTAATAATACACCATGCAAAAACACTAGTACTTGTTTCAAATTCAGGGGCAGGTGAATCTCTTGAGTTTGCTGTCTCGAAAAATAAAGTCAAACTCAGTCTCTCAAAACTATTTTGAGAGCTGGTCTATCAAAAACAAAGTCTATGCTCTAGGAAAGGAAAACTCAAGAGATTAGAGGACATGTGCTCAAGAGGTTTTCTACCTCATTTGTAACTGAAATTCTTCTAGAAAACTAAGATGACTTGCATGGTTTGCAGATCAGTGTATAAAACCCTCATCTTCATGAGCCTTATCAGCTTGAGACAATTATGCAAGCCAAACTTTCACTAGGCTTTGGTCTGCTCCGTGTTTGCTTCCTCTGGCTTCCCAGTCTGTGGCCGGATTGTACATGGACAATGCATGGTGTCATGCCAAGAGCTCAGGATTTGGAACTTGAGTTCAAATCTTAACTTAGCCGCTTAATAGTGGGAAATCTTAGACAAGAGACACTTCCTTTTCTGAGTGCTGATGTCTTCATTTGCTAAAAAAGGTTATATTATCTTTGATGCTAGCTAACTAACAAAATAAAAATCCAGTCTGTATCATGGAGTCAGACCCTGAGAACTCAGTTTGAAACCTAGTGTGGCTTTTAGAGCGAGGTCTTCAGGACCCAGGTTCCCCCCTTTTCACCCGTGCCATGTTGCTCAGGTTCCACAGTTATTCTCTAACTTTCTTTTGCTTCACTTAAAAACTAGGGCTAAAAATAATATCCACCTTATAGGGTAAATTCTTGAGGTGGTATGTGGAGTTCCCAGTGCAGTGTCTGGCATATAGAAAGTGCCTGATATAGTGTAGCTGCTAGCACCAGCACCACCGTCATCACTACCACTGCCATTACTGCCATCACCATTATCACCACCATTGTCATCATCACCATGCCCATCGTCAGTCACCACTGCATTCATCATCTCTACCATTGTTATCACCACCAACATTATTACCACCACTACCATGCGCAAAACCACCACTGTCACCATCACTATTATCATAACTGCCACCATTATCACCATCAGCACTGCCACCATCACCACTGTTACCAACACCACTTAACATCATCAGTTTACCACTGTCAGCACCATCACCACCACTACCATCATAATCACCAGTCACCACCATCACTACTATCAATTACCACCCTCATTATCATCACCATCACTCTAACCAACACCACTGTTATTGCCGCCACCCTCATCATCCCTTCACTAGCGGCATACAACTCTCACCACCACTAGCATCACAACCATCACCATCCCTCTCATCACCATTATCACCATTATTAATATTATATGAATTTAATAAATGTTAACATTCTACATCCTTAGATTTTAAACATTTAGCCCTTACGTTGAATGAATAAAACCACCAACTGGGAGGTTTTGCTTGATACCTTCTGCTTTTAGTTCATTGATTTTCAATGTAGAGATAGAGAGAGGGAGTAAAGCTTTTCCAGTAGCTCTCTGACTGACCTTGTCCCATAATCAGTATAATCTCAGTTTCAGCCTCCTAGGCCATTCCTCACTCCCCACCGGAATAAAGGCAGTCTTAGATTCACATTTAAACCACAGTGAGAGTTGGCTCCAGTGGCGCATCCTGTAAGTCCAGGAGTCCTAGCACTTGGCAGACTGAGGCAGGGGGTTTGAGAGTCCAAGGCCAGCCTTGAATTTTTTCTAAAAAAAGAAAAGGAAAAAGAAACATGGATAAATCACAATGAAATCCCCTTTGGGAGTTCAGCGTGGCCATTTCACAATTCTCAATCAAAAACTATGCCATGGAACAGACGCCCACCTTGCAGGCAGATCCCTTATGACAGTCGTGGGGGAAACCCACACAAGTGTTTGCAGCCCCCCACCCGTCAGTGTCACAGCAACACAAACCAAATGTGATCTTTCTGTCTCCATCCCCTTAATCCATCCACCCAACTGGAAATTTACAGACTGTAATTTTGGTGGCTTCGCAGACACTTAGAAAAGGGATTCCATGAAGAGAAAGTTATGTGCAGGCCTTTATTTCCCCTCTGCTTTCATGCAGTGGGAAAGCTAAGTCCCATCCTTCTTATCACTCTTGCAACCACTATCTCCAGCTGGTTTTATTAGAAATAGCCACCCAGTTCTGAGCAAGCAGGGATGACATCTGTTGATAAGTTAAAGCCATATAGCTCCAGAGTAAGAGGAAACAGACAGCCTCTGTCCTTGCAGGTGAAGGCTTCAGGGCCAATACCAGACATTTCTGTTTTAGCAATAAATGAAAATATCTTCATTTTTTTCACTTTCTCTCCTACTTTTCCATCTGGGAGAATCACATGTCTTTGAAAAACTGAGTCAACAGGGGCAAAAAAAGAACCAAAATAATATTATAATGGCTGGTGTGGGAATGGCAGGTAATTTGTACTTCACTGATGTGTTGCTGGAGCAATTTTAAGGGCGAAATGTTAGCTTTTGAAGAGATGAAAGAAAAATGAAAACATTTATTTGGTTAAATGGCTAAGTAAATAAACTGCCTATCAGACTTTCCCAGCTGTCAAGTCAAAGTAACATCTGTAACAATGGGAATTGTTTGGTCTGTCTCCCTTTGTAACAATAGATACTGCCATAAATAATAAGTCCCTGTCATTTTGTTTAATACTGATCTTCATAGTGGGAACCCAAGGCATATAAAATATTACCTGGTAGACTTCTAGTGTTCAAGAGAAAAGAAAGCTGAAGTTCAAATGCTTTTGGATGGGGATATGAAAGAAAGAAAGAGAGAAAGAGAAAAAGAAAAAGAAGGGAAGGAGGGAATGAGGGAGGAAGGAAGGAAGGAAGGAAGGAAGGAAGGAAGGAAGGAAGGAAGGAAGGAAGGAAGGAAACAAGGAAGGAAACAAGGGGACCAAAGTCTGAATGTGGCTGCAAATAAGTGACCGTAGCCAAGCATGGCTCCCCATCATGTGAGAAGGACCAGTAATTATACCAGCTCCCTGTCCAAGAATTGCATGATATCATGAATACAGAAGTAGTTGGGGGGAATAGCTCAGTTGGTAAAGCACTTACCATGATTTCAGCACTGACGTGGCGGTATGCCCTTGTGATCCCAGTGCTAAGAGAGAGGGACAGGAGACTCCCTGGGCTCAGTGTTCAGCTAGCCTAGCCTAATCAATGAAACCCAAGTCCCAGTGAGAGACCCTGTTTCAAAAAATAAGGTGGATGGCTCCTGAGGAACAACACCCAAGGGTGACCTCTGTTCTCCAAACAGGCCTATATATACACATGTACACACTTGAATATACACAGAGACAGACAGAGAC